GTTTTCACTTCCCTAACTCCTACCTCTAAGCGGGCCGTAGGGATCAACGATCCAGTGTGAGCTGGAACCTAGAATTTTAGGACCTTGTCACTTCCGTTCTGCTCTGCTGGAACCTTATCCTGAACAGAGGAAGGAGGTTCGTACAGAGTAGAACCAAGGTGCCTGTCCAACAGCCTGCAGCCGCCGCAGACCTGTGTGTGCGGCATGAAGGACTTCCCCACCCTGTGCGATGCTCCACCAAAGACAGCCCCATGAGTGAGCCCAGGCAACTGTCAACAGTGGGAGGGGGTGAACCAGCCTCACCAGGCCACACAATAGTAAACAATAATGCCTTTTGGTGTGCCAAGCGCCTAGGTTGTAGTGTGAGACTCATTTTGCACAAACATTAAATTCCATTCCCATCCAAAAATGACCTGCAGGACAGAAGACGGCAAAGACTTCAGCCGTCAAGACTTAGTGAGAGACTGAGGGAATTGCTTACTTTCTGGACTGTTTTCCTTTCTTGTGGGACACAGGAAGCTTGCAGAGGAAGAAATCCCCATCCTCCAGTGCTGTACAGATGGGGGATTATAACGCGGAACAGCTGCAATTAATGGAGCATTATTGAAGGGCTTTCTTGGTCATTGCCTTTGGGTTCTTGTGAGAAAATGGGCTTTTATTCATCCAAGAATTGTAACAGAAAGTTGCTAAAAATATAACTGGCTTTCTTTTTCTTTCAACATTCCTAGGCCCCAGTCCAAGCCAAGACAGAATTGCAGCCTTCAGGCCAAGCGTGAGAGCAGGGCAGTCTCTGCCTGAGCCTGGAGTCATCCTGAGAGGCTTTATTCTTGGCTTGCCTTTCCCTCGCCCAGCTGCCAAAAAGCAGTAGATGGTCTGATTTCACATCAGTTCCCCTTGCCTTCTATTGTCCTCACCCGGTCTCCCCACCCTCCCACATCCCAGCCCCCTTCTGCCCTCTTTGATGCAACACTGATCAGGGTCCTCTGTATGGCGCCTTAGAGGCTTCCCCCCAAAATGGTCTTGTTTGTGACCAGGCTTTAAGAAAAATGAACAGAGAACAAAACGCCAAAACAGAGGCCCCTGCTGTTTTTCTGTTATCATTTAAATGTGAAGCTGTACCCTCTGTGGACATGGTTTAATCATTTAATGAGCTATTAAACTTGCTTCCCCGAGTGAAATCACATTTAGTGTCATTTGGAGGACTGTAGGTAAAATAATAATTGATTTATGGTCACATATTCAAATAGTTCTATTATTCAAGTTTTCATATAAACAGGCTAAAAATAGTATTTGCCATTCTCAGGATTTTTTGTCCAGAGAAAGAGCCCTTTTCAAAGAAGAAAATTTTCAAGTGCACATTTACGAAGTTCAGGTAATATTGAAGGGCTTTAGGTCGCACCCATGATCCCTGGACCATGGCCCAGCAGTAATTTAAGGTAGGGCGCCTATTACTTTTTTTTTTTTTTTAAGTAATGTTCCCTTCCAGATATCCTTTTTCAAGCAGGACAATCTTATACAAGTATAAGAAGCAAGTATCCATTGCTTCTCCATGCTCAGACCCAAGCACTCTTTCTGCACCGACTATTGTGTGTGTGTGTGTGTGTGTGTGTGTGTGTGTGTATGGTTTTGAGACAGGGTCTTGTCAGACGTAGTAGCCCAGGTTAGTTGTACGCTTCTGTCAGTCTTTCTGTATCACGCTCTAATATACTGGAACTATAGGCATGTGCCACTGTTGCCAGGTGTAAATATTTTCCATTTCTGTTTGGTGTCATTAGTGCTCTTGAATCAAGTTCTCAAGAAAACAAAACTAGAGGCAGAGACCAAAGAGACAGCCAGTCATTCAACGGCTGCAGGTACCCTCTGTCAGATGGGACGTACCAGGATTGATGGTGAATGCTGTAGCCCCGTCTCGGCCAAGAACACAGAGGATAGCAAGCATGATCTGCTCAGTCCCTCCGTACTGATAACTTTAATTTGCCCTCTCAAATTGAAATTCTCTGCAGTTTTTCTTTCGCTCAGTCTCTACATGTGCTAGTGTTTGAGCAAAATAGCTACCATTTTTATCAGATGAACCATGCTTGCTTGTAAGAGTCCATCGCCAGAGGACGCGGAGAGGGTCACTGGGCCCTTACCTACTACGTCTGATCCCTCCTGCACCTTCTAGCTATTTGTGTGCAATTCTGTTCTCATCGTAAGTGACCTTGGGTTAGGGAGGCGCTAGAGCCTGTAAACTGGGAAAGGTTCTCTACGGAGGAAACACCACCGGGATGGCTGTGGAGTCGTCATTGCTGCGTGGAGATTTCCCTGAGTTCTTTTTCTGGAAGAAAATGTCCTCAAACTCTGCTCTGTGAGTAAGACCAATAAACTCACCAGTTTGGTTTCCTGGTTTTAACGTTGGTGGAATCAGACTTTGGTTTGTTATTGGGACCTTCTAAAGAGGGGGTATTTATGGTTTATGCTTTTCAAGGGAAGGGATTCTTACAATATTCAGGTTATTTCTTTCAGCAATTCTTACAGAGTGGTTGTTGATCCAGTTGTGGTACTGACAGATGAGAGAAGTCAGAAAGCCAGGTGTGTATCTTCTGGTTGCCCGGCAGCTGAGTCACAGAGCTGAGAGGACAGTGTTTTCAAGCGAGCCATTCGTTTGCTCTAAGCAGAAACACTTAGGTCAAGCAGAACCACCTGTGGTGTCTACGCTTAAAGAAGCATCTAGAAGGGTAGGAGACAGATGGTGTACTCAAGGAATCTGAAAAGGTACATGGGGTGTGTCCAAAGAAGTAATGTGACCTCCCCACAGATTCAGAACCTTTAGGAGTTGCTAGCTCCTAAATGTAAGGTTGTGGTCATTTTCAGCTGGTTTAGAATCATCTAGGAGGTGTATCTCCGAGGGTACTTCTGGAGAAGTTTACTTGAGAAGACTAGAGTCTCTCAAAGAATGAGCCAAAAATCAATCTTCCCTTTAGTTGGCTTCTTTGCTGGGTATATGGTCACAGCAACAAGAAAATTAACTCCTACCGAGGCATTTAAGGAGAAAATGATGGAAAAAAATGTGTATTTAAGTAAAAAGATGCTGGGGTACCCATGCACTATTAAGACAAAATAATCAAATTTCAATTTACATCTAGATTTGTTAATGAAGCAGTAATGAATCAGGCAGTTTGTACTGATAATCCAATACCTCATGAAGACTATAGTGATTTTTTTTATGAAATGATATCAACTTTTGATAATCCCCAGAGCAAAACAAAACCGCCATCTTTCTTTCAAACCCATGGGGGTTCATATTTAGAAAATCCAGGGCATACAGAATCAAAATATTTGCATGAATAAAATGAAATCAAGGTCTAGGCTCAGATAACAATAGGATTTTTCATCTCCAAGAATCTCAGAGGTCACAGAAAGTGTATGGAGAAATACTTCCATTTGGTGAAGAGCCATGGGCCAGTGGGGGTATCTAGCAACTCTCATTAAGTACGAATTGCATTTTCCCTCCTCCTACTCATTGTGATACCCAACAGCACAGATTCCTGAAATGTCCTAGTTGAGCCCAGTTGAATACAGTAGGGCGTGGATGGTGCCTTTGGCCCTTCGAGAGAACCTCACAGGGGATTTTACTGACGTTGTCTATGCCAACACTGACAGTTGCAAAACATTCACATGCTTCAGTGTGCCAGCTATTAGTGTACATGAATATTGTAGTGATATCATTTACATATTGACCCTTTTCAGATGATTGCAAAAGCTGCAGAAACGATCTTTCTACCATAGTCTTTGTGCACTTGTGAGAGCAAAGCTCATGGTCCAAAGGTACATGTTTTAAAATTTTTATCGGTTTGTCAAATTGCTGTCTAAATTATTGTCCCTATTCTTATTGGTGCCTTTATCCATGCCGGTTGTGACCTTCCATCACTAGATAGCTGAGGTTTTAATCTTGAGCTGTTTTCAAAGAAGAAAATGAGGATTTTTCAAATGTCTGATTAAAAGCTGTTTTCAGCTTTTATTACATTAGTTGGTTGCTGTCAGTCTTGATTCGTCTCTGTTTCTAGGACACTCTTGTGGAAGAGAAATTGAACTTCTGGTGTTCAGGGGTCATGAGTGAAGGGTAGACAAATAGAAGTTTGGGCGTCAAGAATGCAAGACGCTTCAAACAACTCTAGCCACCCAGCAAATGAGCAGGTCTGCCTGGAGAGATAAGGACTGCTCTCCTCGTCCTGGAAAATTTTCAATTTCAGGCTGGATGGACAACACCGAAGTACTCAAGGAGCGATTCCTGAGTTCACTGGCATATACAACAAGGTCCGCGTAGCCCACCGTACAGCGTCGGGGATACAGCGTCTGGGATACAGTATATGTGTGAGATGAGTTTAGGTGGCGTGGACTTCAAAGACGTTTTAATTGGTGTCTGCTCAGCTTTCTATGGTAGCATCATGTTAGCAGTAAATCACGCACCTTAGTGTATGAAGGTGGTACTGCTGGGATACACTCTGTGCAGAAATAGACTTCACAGTTTCTAGGTCTTTTGAAACCCCAGACTCTATGGTTCTAAATCTAACCTCAATCTTGCGGAAGTTTCAATTGGTACCATGACTTGTAAATACCAGTCTCTTACGTTCACTGCAAGAAATTACAACAGAAACCAGTCGTAGTACAACAGAGAATTAAAGTATTTGGAGCTTGGTGCAGGGGTCACATTTTAGTTAAAAATGAGAGCCCTAATTATAGGTAAAAACCTATCTGAAGCTACATTCAAATTAATTGGGGGGGGGAGAATCCTAATATGTTGAGGAATCTGACATTTGCTGCATTGGGATGGATCAACTCTGTGTGTTTTAAATGGATTCCGAGATAAAATGAACACAGGTATTGCTAGTGGAATTCCTTTACCCCATCAACACTTCTACGAGCAGTCTTGATGAGAAAGTAACACGGTCTGTGTTTGCACAAGTACAACCCTCTGAGACTGGTCAACCTATGATGGACTTAAAATATAAGCTTATGCATTGGAGATCAGAGGCAAATATTTATTTAGTTTATATATAAATTGTACATGATGTTCATGGGAGTAATAAACACAGGCAGATTTTTAAAAAATCAATTCAAGATACCACCCAAAAATCACTTCCACGCCTCATTGATGCCATTCATTAAATACCTCTATCTGGGTAGTTCATAATCATAAGAGTTGTATGGTTTGGTTTCTATTATTTAGCTCATATTATGAAAAATGAAATCTCTATCCCCTGTCCTTCTTTAAAAGCCAATAGGAAGAGTAGTATGTACATATTACCAGACCAATGAATTTACCCTCCTGGCAACTGAGCAAGAATTCATTAAGTAGCATTGTTGTTCATCTGCACTGGTTTTCATTTAGGTACAAGCATTACCAGTTCCATAATTCACAGAACAAAGCACAAAGCAAACTGGAAAAAAAAATCCTCCCAAATAACTAATTTGATTCATTGACCAAGACAGGAGACAGACTTAGTATGTGTCATACACATCAACACCTAAGACAAGATGAAAAATGCACTGTGTAGCCATTATTTAAATATGTTAAAATCCAAGCTGAGAAATAATAATGAATATGTGAAATTGACTCCTCATAGCCACTCTGATACAATATACTTTAATTAGGAGAACAAAGTCATTCATGGACACAGTTCTCTTAGTAAAGTTTTCTATTTCTTGCTAATAACACATTTTAATTTGCTTCAGAAAAATGCATTGATCTTATTCAAATATATTTTTCCTAAAATATAAATATTTAAATTAAAATTTTAAAAATGGCGAAGATAGTTTTTGGTGACTCTTACCCAGATATCAATCATTCTAAAACTTAAGCAATAAAGAAACAATGTCTGTAATTATGACCATTTTAATTTGTCTATAAATATATAATAGAATCTTTGCAACTTGAGTAATTAAATCAAACTTCATGTAGTACCGAGCACCTTAGATTACATATTGTTGAACGAAACTATTGGCATTAATATATGTCTCATGTTATTTACAATACATAAGTATAGTTCTCTTGTATAACAACATTCCAGTGATTTTTGAAAATATATAGTGTGAAACTGTGTAATATAATTTACAAATGCATCAGCGCTTTCCCACAGTATTGAAGCTGGCCCTCACTCCTCAACATTGTAAGATTCGAAACCAGCCAAAAGTCCATGTGCTGTGATGGTATTTCCCAAAGCATTGTCTCTACAGAGGCCCCATTACAAAGAAGTACAAGGCATGGAACTCTCACCCCCAGCTTGAAGATTGTGATAAATGAAGACCATGATTTTTGAGGAAGTTGGCAACCCCAACAAGGGCCTCAAATGTCTTAAGTTGCTACTTAGCCAATATCTTTTGTCACCAAGCTTTGAAATCACCTCCCCAGCGAGAACACTGTTCCGTGTCCCTTGGTGATGGTGTTGTTATATGGGATGTGCTCTGGGGAAATGGTGGTTTAAAATACAGCTGCAACTCAATAAAGACACAAATCTGAGGCTCTTAACCACAGGCCTTCAGGCAGGTGTCACTTTGCATAGGCATCTGCTGAACTCTGACCCTCCCAACACATAGGCAGAACATAGAGCATGTGGTCCTGTAAAGCTAACAGGACAAAAGAACTAAAAATTCATAAATTCTATGGCTGATTTTTGGGGCATGTAAAAAGTAACTCCAAAGTCAAATAGGTGTGGTTTTTAGTGAAGTAATCTCCATTAAAAATGAAAAGGTTAAAAAAAAAATTAAGTCTTACTAGGCCAGATACTGCCTCAAAATATGCTTGTAGAAAAATATCAGGTCATTTCATTATTCCCCTGGAATTCCAAAATTAATGTAGGTGCTATCTGTAGATCTGATGATACTTCTGGTTCTGTGTGTCTGAAACAGCATCACCAAGGCTGAGAGACAGTCTCCCTTACTTTGAAATGCACATATGTGAGCCCAGGCAGAAACAAGGACCACTGAAAGGTGTGTCCACTGAAAGCTGGGAAATGCAGACAGTTAAACATATCAACTATGTGACAAGCAGTGTGTGTGTGTGTGTGTGTGTGTGTGTGTGTGTGTGTGTTATGGCAATCTTTTTTTTTAAAAAAATGCCCAGAATTTGATTTCTGTAGTATGGGTACCAATTGTGGCTATGAGACAGCATCCACAGTGTAAGTGTAGTTTCAGAATTCATCATCATATGTGTGTACGACTCCTCAGAAAAGCTTCGCAGCAGCCACAGCCCACTTTGGCTCAGATCCTGCCAGCTTAGAGCTCAGGTCAGTATCCAATGCTTTACTTCATTTCTGCTCAGCCTATGCTAATGAGAACGCTTTGGAGTCACTCGATACCAACTGAGAGAGAACTCATTAAGAAAATTAAGTAACAGATGCTTCGTTCTTAAATAAAAGGCGGGTTCCTTTTTATTTCTCCCCTTCTTTTTCTCTCTTCTTGCCTACCAATGAAAGTCAGCTCAACTTGAATCAGAAAATAGATCACAAAGAAGCGAGGGATCAGTGTTGCCGGGCAGGGGGTGGGGGGAGATAGAAGAGTAGGTGAAACTCTCCATTTCTCATCTGCTCGGCCCTGGCTTACCTGGGTGAACCAGTTGCCTAGAAACTGGTGTGATTAAGATCTGCATATGCTGTTGTAATGGCCGTGTCCTTGGTTGTCATTATTCAGAAGATGTGCTGTGTAGATTCATTTGCCCCCCCCAACCTTGTTCTGCTCTAAGAGGTTCTGTTCTGACATCCCTTGTGGTGTTTTCCTTAGGGTGTCCCTTGTAGTTCCTGGAACTGACAGAGGAGGCTGGGATGTTACGTGGGACTCCTGAGACCTGACGGCCGGCCGTGCATGCGCCCATTTGCTGCACTGCCGGATGTCACACCTCCTGGGGCACTGCAGTCGCCCCTCGCGAGGTTCAGGCCACCAAGCCCAGTCTTGTAATCTTGGCAGACAGGAAGGAATGGATGATGAAAACGATCGGCTTGGGGCATGAGTGAAGGTCCAGTTGCTGAAACGTAAAAGGAAGAAAGAGAGCATGAGAGGTTTTCAATTAATGCTTGATGTAGCGTAGTGATTTTCACGTCAAGCCAATCTATACACACTTCTGACTTGGGAGTGTTCAATAGAGCAATTCTGTCCTCAAATCTTTGTTCTCAGTGAGTTAAGGAAATGACTCTCCAATCTTGTTCATTACATCTCCTATATATTTTTTTTTCACTAAACAAGTTCTGACGAATTTACCTATAACAATTTCGTAACTATTGATGAGACCCTTCTCCACTGTCTAAGCCATTTATTTTCAGTTCCACAATAGTGATGCTTATGCCGACTTTTGTACAGCATGCAGCAGATTTCAGCTTTCGCATCTCAGGTTGTTTGGTTCTTGGTTCCGACAGGTTTTTTTTTTAATGTCTAATCTTGGCCAGTTCACTTAAAATTCTTCTTGGCTCTACTAATATACAAGGTAATTAGAGTATTGAATAAGATCCCGCATGTGAAACGGCCTTGTGAATACGGAACTCATGCTTGGCATCCCTGCCTCTGCCACCCTCCACTCTGGAGTCATTGTGGGCATATCCATCACGTTTCTTTGATGGTGATGGCTCAAGTGTGTGCAGTGTGGTTCCTGCACCACCCAGAGCATGCCTGTAGGACTGTGTGCACGGGTGTGAGATGTGTGTCTGTTACCTTAACATGGAATTACCTTAACATCTAATTGGCTTAGGTGAATATTGCTTTACAGTAGCTCCTAACTTTTGCTCCTTGTCTGTCCCTCCCCCAACTCAGATAATGTCTAATGTCTAGTCCCTGACTACTTTTAGCTTTTGGACCCTGGCAGTGCCTGTTTTACATAGCTGCCCTGATCCCCATCACCTGACACCACGCCAAGGCGATATCAGCTGCTCAGGGCATCGTTAAAATGAATTGGACATAGGTTAAAGCACCCGAGAGTTCTTTTGATAAGAATTTAATGCTAACCTGATTACGCATTCTTCCTCTAACCTCAAATATTTATGCCAATTTCTAATGAAAAATGAAACCAAAGGAAAGAGCTCGAGATAATTGGACCTGTTTTGACACCACTGAATCCAGTCCTGCTTTCGCCAGGATAAGCTACAGCAGGGGACTGCAGCCACTGCCATGAGCTGTCAGCTGGATGTGTCGCAGCGGAGAGGCAGCCTAGCGTTTCTGAGTCCTTACAGGTGTGTTGCATAATGAAGCAAACGAGGTCACGTGGTCACAAGAAACCCAGACTTACAATCTCCCCTTCTTTGCCGCCGAAGTCTAAGTAGAGCATCCTGATTCCGTCGTCCGAAGACATTTTGAGCTTCTCATAAGGGGACTGTATGATTGTCTTGGGAAAGGCACCCTCCTGAGGCTCAGTGGAAATAGAAAATCCATTGTCATAATGTATGGTCAGGCGGCATTCCTGGTTTCTGTAGGTGCAGGCTGGGGCCACGTGGTCACAAGAAACCACATGGTGGAAATCAATCCATCAATCCATTTACTCAGGTGCTTAATTACTTCAGTGTCTTCAACCCAGTGTCCACCTGCAAATTTCTTGTTAAAGCGAGAAAGAAAGGAACAAGGTCCCTACACTTCTTGGATTGACTTTGAAATTGTAATTTAGCAGTTGTCAAGAGCTGGGATTCAGGGCCTGTTTTCTGGGCCCCGATCCTTATCTGGCCTTCTGACATGTATTTCAACAGGAAGGAAATTTCTTATGATTTCCTATGACCAGGGAGGAGGACTTGGCCTTTCAGTCAGAAACAGCAGATATTTTATTTTAACAAAGTAAGCGACCTCTGCATCACCATCATTAACACCACCACCTTATCATCTGTGTGGGTATGCATGCACGCATGCACTCACACACACGCACACATGCACGCAAACACAGTCCTGTCTGCTATTGCTTGAAAGAGGTGAACACTCTCTTATTTTACTACCTTATTATATTGCCAAAGTTCTCACATGCAACCATCCTAAGAGGTCATAAGTGAGCAGTTTAAAAATAATCTACCTTTTACAAAATTTAACAAAAAAAAAAAAAACCCTTTTACAAAAGGGCAGGTCCTGTAATTTCCCCTAAGATTTTGGGTCCAGGAAATGTGACTGCAGATTGCTCTGTGATGTGGCGCCTTCCATGAGGAATGCTGCTTTCTCCCACTGCCCGGGAGATGTCCAGAAGTTTTCAAGTGCAGGGGCATGCGGAACAAAAGTATAAACCTTATAAGAAGACCAGGTGCCAGTTTTATCAGAAGGCGAAAGAGTGTTGTCCTGTAAGCCTATTACCAGGACAGGGAGGGGAGTCGCTAGAACCCCACTTATAAGCTCTTATTGCAGAAGGGCTACAAATGTATCCTTTAAATCTTCATCATAGATCTCTGGAAAAACTTGTCAATTATCAGACTGGGGTGAGTTTGCCTCATAAAACACTGTCAACAGACTTCTGTAGGTCAATTGGTTCAGGCCTTGGTCGGTACCTAACTGAATTCCTAAGGAAACCAGGACATTTTCTTTGCTGGGGTGGAGCTGCGAGCAGCACCGACACATGAAGGTGTCATTAATTGAGAAGCCACTCTGTGTCGCCAATAGCTCTGCTCCGCTCTCTAAATAGACCGAGTACAATTTCACCACTGACTTCAGAGGCAGAAATGGTTCACTAAGATTAGAGGGCTCAACAAACTAAAGGAGACTCTCACCACCTGCGATGTTTAGCTTTGAAAGTTCAAGTCCTTTCTCCTCTGTTTCCTCTTCCTTTCCCCATAGCCTGGCACTCAATGCAGGGAGGGCTTTGGGGCAGTACCCTGACAATGAGTTTCTCATCCTTCCTCTCTCATGAATAGTGACACATGATGACATCTTGGTAGGGGATACCTTCAACTTGGGGGAAGAAATAGGATCTCGGTTGGCCACAAAATTAGGTGCCCTTTCCAATGGAGCTCTGATGAGTACATGTGCCCTTCTGTGACTTCCTCTAAGTATTTCTATTTTATGCTCTGAGCTCACCTTTTACAAGGTTCTTTTCTGATAGCTCGGAGTGCTCTGCCCTCTGCCACCAGCAAGGGACAACAAAGGACAGGGTCACCAAGGTAGCAAATGGCTTCCCATCCCGAGTCCTCCCTCTTGCCCATTTACATGTCTCACAGTTCCAGCCCATGTAAATAAGCTCGAAGCATGGTTTTATTCACGCTTTCCACACATATGACCTTTAAAGCTGTGTGATTAGTTATTCTGACCTTGCTGTGACGGACTTTGTTTCCAGTAGATGCTGAACAGTGTCTGCGGCCTTTCCTAGATGGAATCAGTTAACCAAAGATGTCCTCCATCTCCATGGGATAAACTAAACACATGACTGTGATAAATCAGGCTCCAGTGAGAACAGAATCATTCCCCCCAGTCTCCGAGTCTCTGGAAGCAGCATCCAAGCATCAGCTGAGCTGTATCATTCATCACTTCCATCCCCTGCTCTGCTACCATTCTGCTGGCTCAGTTTACACGATTCCTTGTTATTCTCCTTTGGCTAGTATGTCATCAGCCTTGGCATTTTGAGGGAGACAGTGTCTACACACTAAGAAGAATATAAGAAACAAACAAACACATCCCCCTTTTCCCCTCAAAAACAAAACAAAACAAAACAAAACAAAAAACCACAGAGCAAATCCTTTTGGATATCCTCACTCTGTCCTAAAATCATTCCATGGAGTCTGAACTTCACTGCTGTTCCACTAAGTATGTGATTGCCCTAAGCCCTTGAGGGGTTTAAGGCTTTTCCAACCCTCATGTTCACAACCTGTCCTTCTTGCCAGATACTATAGGCACCCAACTTTCAGGACCACTCCCAACAGGTCATCAGCAATGATAGGAAACATTTGAGGACACAAATTAGTTTCCAGATAATCATTCACAAACACTGATCAAGCCAGGCATGGTGGCACATGCTTCTAATCCCAGCATTTGTGAAGGCTGTCAGTTTGCGGCATACCTATGCCACATGGTGACTTACTATTTTTTTTTAAATGACATAAAAGGCACTGGTCATCTTGTGCATTCTGCACTAGAAATTCTACTACACACTTAGAAACAATTTGGAAAGCCCCACTGTGTGCTTCTGTGTACCCCATCTTTTAAAGCACTCTTGGGTATCTGGAAAGTGGTCCTCTACTCCAGTTCTCTTCAAAGAGTGGTCCCACAGCCTAGTAGCATCCCTGCTTCCTGAAACATGTTATATGAGAATTCTCATACACCACACAATCATATGAATCAGAATCTCTTGAGGGAGGAGGGGGTCAACCATTCCTGCCGCTGAGTAGAAAACAGGACAACCTTGGTCTGTCTTTCCTAACTGTTCTGTGGGGTGGTCTTCATCCTGAAGACCACAGTGGCATACGGTGGGGCCTGATGGACGCGTCACAGATTTACAGCATCCTGGGAAGTAGCTCTTCAGCAATTTGACCGTGGAACTGGAAAGGTGGCGCAGCTGAGGAGCTGTCTGTGATGATGGACTCCTTCCAGCCTGTCTCTGCCCCTTCATTCATGCCAGGGATAGAGCTCTGCTGGAGTTCTTCTGGAACTTTCCTTCTGCTCTGCCTGAACCCCCCTCCCCACTCAGATGCCTTTCATTCCTATTGTTTCTCACAGACCAAGTCCCCAGTTTTGAACTCAGTCCAGTACTAAACACTAGTCTTTGATCAAGCACTCAGATTCAGTTTCTATTCTTCATAGTCAATAACCCGACTACTTTATACCCCCAAATTCCCTTTCTTCTGGAAGTCATTTATGAGGTCGTAGGAAGGAGGATGGGAAGTGATCCTCCACGTTTCCTGGTTCTCCTTAATAAAGATCAGATGAGGCATACAAGAAAAGCCTCTAGTTATCTCTTAGGAGGGCGAACCGTGCCTAATTGAAAAGAATTTAACTGTCAATTTTAAACATCATCCAAAGACCAGTAATAGAAACAGCTGTGAGGCCAGAGCAGGAGCAGATTCGCCTTTCCTGCCTTTGTCTGTTGGTGGGACGTTGGTAGCTCACAGGCAGCCGTACTCACCAGTGGTGATTTCGGTAACAAGCTCAGCAGAGTTGTGGCACCCCTGCACAATGCTCCTCGTCCAGTGGGAGAGGTCCCTGCCGATCTCCGCCCTGAAGAGATGGGTTTCAATTCCTTGCTTGGTGCCAGTTCGCGTTGCAAAGGACAGATCCATGGCAGCCTGGGGTGAACCTTTCCCTGGACCTGAATGGATGAGCCTAGAGAGGAAGGTGTTGGCGAGAGAGGGAGAGAAGAAGAAAGATTGGTATTAAAATGCGCTTTTTAGAAAAATCCACCCGGCACATCACCTAGGAAAAACCCCAAACTGACACACTGCTCTCGTGATCTCAAGTCAAAAATGTGACTCTTCAGTGGTTTCCTCCCATCTTCTCCTCTTCAGTGGCAGAGTAGAGCTGATAAAGGAGGATAAATCATCCAAGAACTGTGCATTTGGTAAACTATGCAGAAGACTCAAATAATATAATATGACTCATACACATCTAACTATGCTTAGTAAATAAATAGATAAATGGGTTGGAACAAAAACGATTGACATTCTGCGTAAAATTCCCTCCAGCCAAATCCCAACTCCATGCATGTGCATGTTTCTACCTAGTCACAAGAGGAGAAAATGAATCTATCATACTAAATGGGCATGAGACTCGGTTTGTCCCATCTCATCACTGGAAGGATAGGACTGTCCTGAACACACCTCTGAGTATGCATGCTCTTCTGGGCCCTACAGACAAGCAAGCAAGTGGGGACCTCACTGGAAAAGCCGCAGTCTGTTTATCTGTTCAAGCTGGAGGAAGAACAAGCAATGTCAGACTTCTGAGGAACAGGCAGAGGATTGCCCTTTACTGGGTATTTACGGGCAGCTTCAGAAGTGTTGTTTTTCAGCCGCACGAGATTTTCACGCTGACTTGAGAGCCTCCCCTCGGCATAAGATGCGACTTCTATAGTAAATAACTGCCCTGAAGGCCAGACTTAAAACATAAGGGATCAAAGTGTGCCGAGCATCACCACTGGCTCCTCCTTCTCACGTGTCCCCTGGAAACACGCTCTCTCCTGCTTGACATTTCAGCCTTCTCTTCAGAGTGCCCCTCACATCAATCATGCGCAGGGCAGGGCAGTGAGTGTAATTTTATTTCTCTCCAGGGTATTTGTATTTTCGCCCTTATCTCTTAATATGAAAAGCAACGCTTTGCATTTGCTAGAAAAATGCCAGGTGCCTAGCCACCTATTGGGTGAGAGTTACTTTCTTAGACATGGAATGTGTTGCCTTGGAGGTTAAAATATGTGTAACGAAACTTGAAAAGTTTATTTTCCCCACTGTGCATAAGTAGTAGAGAATAAAAACAGCAGTGGAGGTGTGTGTGTGTTATATCCAGTGGAATTCCCAGTAAGAAGTCTGGGTAACTCAGAGGCACTTTTGTTCATTTATGAAGCAAGGGATTGGCAGGAGGAAGGGTTTGCCCAGCCACTTTGAGGGAAAAGGTTATTGGGAATAATAATGGAATAACCCATTCCAGTTAAGGAACGAGACTCACTGAAAATAAGTAAGTAGCCCGTAACATGCATAATGGAAAATGGCTGTGCATGTGGGTGGAGGAGGAGATTTAACATATACCGGCTGAGTCCGGTTTGTTCTGGCAGGAGGAGGCCATTTTAGAGTGAGAAGTGAGAAAAAGTGGCTATGCTGCGGCCGTGCATGCAAGCTCAAGGGACACTAAAGAAAAGAGCAAACATTCTTCTAAATTCTGGAACAGGTCTTAAACAGATTGTGGTAAAAATTTATCAGAAAAAAATACCCTTTAATACATAGGTAGGGAGAGCCATCTATGAGAAGCAAGAAAATACATTATGTTTAAGTAGCTCAAGATGTTGCAAGCATGTGTGTGTATGCACACATGCATATGGGTACATGTGTGTTCAGGTGTGTATGTAGATCAGGGGACAACTTCAGAGATGTTTTGAGGCAGGGTCTCTCACTCCCCGGGAACTCGCTATGCAAGTCAGAATGGCTGGCTAATAATCCCAGGATTCCTCTGTGTTCACCCTGTTCAAGTTCTGGAATTACAAGTTTGTGTCACCGCACCTGACTTGTCAAAGTGTTTTCTTATCCAAAGTTGTTTAAGTTTCAGTTGCTTTAAGAAATATATTTGTCTATTCACTCTTTAAATCTTAATATCTGGATTAGGTGAACACAAATGCCAGGTTGCCAGTTGAAAACAGGGAACATTGGTTTGGGAGTCATAAAATCCTGTAATCAAACCCCACTGATTTTATATTCCACATATTTTAATTTCTTTAAAGAATCATTACATCATAAGGTAGTGTTTTGAAAATTAAATAACATTATTAATAGGTTGTTCCTCGCACAGAAACCAGCATGCGGCTCATATTCAACCAATATTTTTATTCCTTATACTTAGAAGTTTAATTCCTGCCCCACAGGACTAGGGTTAGATACAATAAAAAAATTAAAAACATTTAGTTCAGAGTCTTGTATGTCATGGTCAGCACTCAAAAAAATTATTGTTCCTTTAGGCCTTGACTGTCTTAAGTTATTTTCATTTTCTGGTCCCTAAATGATTTCTATCTCATTTCTGTCACAATCAGATGCTGTTGGTACTGTATCATAGAGGTGGAAGCAAAGTGAGAAAAAGATGTGCAGTTGTCAGAAAGAGAGAGAGAAAGAGAGACCGGGACAAATAGAGAGAAAAATGCATCACAAATCATTTTTTTTTCAGGAGAGTTTATAACATTGGAACCAATTATAACTATAAAAGGCAATTAGTTAAGAAATATCCATTTGGTAGCTTTGGGGGTGAAGGGATGGACTTGACAACAGAATGTAACAGGTATGAGAAAGCCCTGAACCAGGTGGTCTCGTGCCGTGTACCAGGAATACTCCGCGGGGGAAGAGACGATGAAAGAGAAACTCAGAGATATGGTTACTGGAGTCCTCCAGTGTCTATCCCATCACCGAATTCTCACTGAGTGAAAAGGAAAGAGAAAATTTGATTTCTCAACACAGCAATTCTGAATTATGCAGTATTTATATTAAAGGCCAAAAGGCCTTCCATCCAAGGAGAGCATACAGGTATATTATGGTTTATTAAATATGCCAATATTGGTACAATACCATCTTAAAACACTGAGATAAAAACACATAGCTATTTCTGGTACCTCATGTATATACTAGGGATAAAAGGATACTTAACCTGATTTGAATCTACAAGACTCCAAGTATTTACTGTGTGCTTGTATGCAAATCCATAAGATTATTTTTATAAATATTATGTGTCAATACGGGAAAGACAGTTATTGTCTATAAAGTTCTAAACACACCACTCAACTGTATGAAAAGAAAGTGTAGAAACAGGTCCACGAAAATGGCAAGCAATTTTATAGGTGAATTTATTAATTTTTTAGAAAAATATTTTTTTTAATGTTGGATTACCCCCCCCAAGAAACAAAAACTATATAATTTAAAAGGCCTTGAGTTGGAAATGAACCCAAATCTTTCAATTATTAGAATTAGGACTTTTGCACTACTAAAAATGTAGAAATTCAAGCTCAACATATTGCCAGTGTTTTGGTCGTGTGTTGTTTAATGTTAGTGACAATTCAATGTTGAAATATGGGAAATCAGCCAGGTTCAGCAAAGACACAGGAGAGAAGCCGAGCGCCACAGATTGAATTAATAGTAGCCTTTGGGATTCAGGCATCTTCTGAGGGATCCCAGAGGAACTTCCTGCTCTATCCAAGTTCCTTCTCCCATCTTTCCAGTCGAACACCAAACAAAAATTCCCATTTTTCATCCCATCAATCAATAAAGATTTCATTAATCACCAGGTAATATATCTAATCAATAAGTATACAGTCTGAAAAGCTTATGAACTGAACATCCTCCTCAAATTTAAATACTGGAGCTCACCCCCCCCATGACTATATTTGGACATAATTTCTATAAGGATGTTAACTGTGGTGGTAAGGCGGGAATTTAGTCTAACAGCAGTCTGTAGACACCTCTGTGTGCACAGACACAGCTCCATGAGGGAACAGATGTAGGCAGCCATCTGCAAGCTAGGAAGACAACTCGCAAAAAGACCCCAACATATTGATCTTGAACATCTTAACTTTCAATGCAGAAAGAAATAAATTCCCAAGCCGCTCAGTCTATAGTACCTCTTTAGAAGGCTACTTTACATGTGATCCACTCAAGTCTCAAAGCAAGTCAGATGGAAATAGATTAAGCCTCGATGAGCCTCTGTTTGAAAGGAGAGAGGCCTTTACTCATTGTGAGCCACAGTCTCTTTATTTCAGGCCCAGCCTCTGTTCTCAGAAAATCCATTTCTCTAATAGAAAAGTAGTGGAGAGTGTGAGCAAGGGAGATGGGAGTGATGGGGAGTCCCTTTGACCCCATGGGACAGCCTGTTCAGCGCCTCACAACTCATCCAAACTCAACATACCCTGCAGCAGAACGTACGTAGAGAAGGCCTGTGGGCTCTTAACAATTTCATGGTTTGGTTCTAAGTTGAGGAATACCAGGGTCTTCAGAGGGTGCTGTTTCCACCACAAAGGAGAAAGATGTACATGAGTCGAATGTTGTTCAAAGAAAGTCCAGATGAGGAAATTTACATGGAATCCAATAATGTTCAAAGCCCACATGAGGAAAGGTCTGTGAACAATGCCCAAGACAATGTCAGTTGCTCTATAGGTGCCCATGGGATGGACTGATTCAGGAAGAAACAACTTTACACTTTTAGCTATTAGTGATGTTGACTTAAATATGAGAAAGTTTGCAAAGCAAGCCGGGAAGTGACGCTTCTCAAAGAGCATCCTTGCTCCAAAGCAATTCACGTTCTTGCCCGAGACGAGCACACAACAAGACCCAAAGACTCTTGCCCTGGTGTAACTTGGGCAGCGCTGCAGACAACACTGTGACTGAAACTGCGTGGTGGGAATTAAGCAGGTGATGACAGGCCCTGTGCTCGTCATACTGATCAGATCACACCAGAACTGCAGCAGCGCCAAGCCCCTGAGTCTATGCTTTCAGTAATGCCCTCTCTGGCTCTTGGTTTATCTAAGGAGAGGCACACGGGAAATACATGATTTCCCCTGGGTAACTCAGATGAGGGAGGAATGCTTCCAGCAAGGCTGCAGTTGCCAGAAGGTACTCGCTTGGTAAGCACTGTTGCCCACGTATCAA